TGGTAGATTTTGATCTTTCTTCATATATTGATAGAATGATTTATTTGGTTCTTTATATTTTTGAGGTTTGTTTTGGTTATCCTGTTGTTTTTGTCGACATTCAGAAATACTATGTCCGTATCGTCGGCAATAATTACACCATTTTTTGAAAGATGGTTTGCCTTTAAAGTTTGGGTGTTTTTCATAAATATTTAGTATTTCAGTGATTTTTTCAACGAGGTCTGTATCTGATTCCTGTATGTTATTGATATTTGTGGTGTTTGTTTCGATTCGATTAACATATTGTAATTTCAGATTTTCTGTTTCTTCAAGTTTCATTGTGATTTCCGTTTGCTCTAGTTTGTCTACTAGTTTTCGAAAATCTAGATCGGGCTCTCGAATTGAGGAAGGATGTGATGCTCTCTTTTCTATTGCTATTTTTCTTAATTGAGGTGTTAAGGTCATCATTAAAATTTCTGTCATTTTTGTGTTTTTGTAGTCATGTGTATTTAATGAATATGCTTTTCGAACTTGTGTTTCGATACGTACTGCTAATTGTTTGATGGTTTCATTTGGTAATCTGCGAATTTCATTACATAAAACTCTTTGGTGTTGTTTATTTCTTTCGGAGTCAAACATTTTTGAAAATTCTTGTGTAAATCTTTTCCAATTTGATTTTATTTCTATAGGTAATACTGAAAACCATTTTTGGGCTGCGCCATCTAAGGTTGTTTGTATCAACGCTGTGCGTCGATGTATCCAATTTTGATATAGTGGTGTATTAATTGGTTCAGGTCCTATATTTAAAATTAAATTTGCTGTAACTGCATTTAAATAATCTTCTACAGAATATTCAGGGTCTGTTCCTGTGAATACCATTAATGGTTTATTTGATGTTATTGATGATCCACCCATAAGGTATGGATTCATTGTCATTTGTAGTGATTCTGCGGCATTTGGCAATTGTGAAAAAATTGAAAGTTGATTTTTTGTTATTTCGTGTTGTTGAAGGTAATATGGGAGTGGTATTTCACTTTGCATTTGAGTTGGTTGATACGAGTGTGTGATCATTGGGTTTTGTGGCTGAATTGGTTGAAAAGATTGTTTATTAGTTGGGTTTTGCATTTGTATTGGTTGTTGATTTTGTGTATCTGTTGGATGTGGAGAAAAAATTCTATGATATGTATATGGTTTTTGCACTCCTTGTCCGCGATATTCTTGAGTATATGGTGCAAATATATCTGGTTGTAAATAATCATCATCAGAGGATAAGTAATCCGTATGATGAGGTGCTTGCTTTTTATTTTTATTTTGCTGAAAGAATGGGTAATTTTCACTACGATCCTGTGGAGGATGTGAATTAGTTTGAAAATTTACTGAGTTGGTTGTTGTCATTGGGTTATCCCAATATCGAGATCTTATCTGATTATTATTATTTTTTCGTGAGGGATAGTTTGTTATTGATGAATGTGCGTAATTATAATTGTGTTCTGCAAAAGTGTTTCTTGTGAACGTTCTTCGTGTTTTTGACGGTACTGTCATAGGTCTAAATGTTTGATAGTCCATTTGTGAATATTTTGGAGCAACCGAAGGTTTAACGGTTGATTGTAAGGTTACTTGTGCTAGTGAAGTGTTTGTATTTTTGGTGTTGTTAAATTTGGACGTATAGGTGAAATACTTTGTTGTTGTAGTTGTTGTTGTTTGGACGATTTCTTCATTTATGAAGTGTGATGGTGTTTGAATATCTTGTTGTGTAAGATTCCTAGTTCCATTAAGGTTTTCATTGTGTATGACGGTCGAATTTAAACTGTTATTTCGCGTATCAGGTAAAAATGTATTGTAGTTTAATGGTGTTGCATCAATGGTTAATGGTACTACTCTTACATAATCTCTTTGATAAGATATTGTACTTATTGCTTGACTTGAGATTGTTTGTGGGATATTTATAAATGCATGATGAGACCATTCGGGGTCCCAAACGTAGTCTGACTGTTCTGTGATGGCGCTATCATCGTTTGAATTTTGAGGTCTGAAATTTTTTCTTGCTTGCGAAATTAAATCTATATTATGTGTGAAATAATCTATTGTAAACCATGCCAAAATTTTTTGTAAGTCATGTTTTGTATGTTGTGAAACTTCGTCTTTAGTGAAATTTTCTTTAATTATATGTAGGAAAGTTGAAAATAGTGTGATTTCATGTCGTACTTTTGTATGTTTGGATGTCTCAGTTGGTGAGATATTTGGAATTTCTGTTTTTTCTAATATTGAAATATAACTATATTTTATTGCAAAAACTTCGTTAGTAAATATGGAGTTTGCTCTTTGTGAGTTATGATATTGTACGCTTTTAATATATTCTAAGAATACTTTTGAAAATTTTAAGTCAAGATCGTCTGTTTGAATTACATATTTCCGGTGATTCGGATTTGGTGTACTGAATTCTATAGTGTAGATTCCGTATTGTTGTGTTAAATTACATATATCTTTCAGATAATGTTCTATAATTTGTCTTTTGATTTTTACATCTAGGAATTCTGTTTTGCATGGGCTGATTCCGGTTTCAAACAAAATTAGGAGTAAATTCTTGCAAAAGTCATGCTGTCCTCTATTATCGGGTTCATCTACGAGGAAGGGGTAAATATCGTCGTCATCTGGACTATCGTCACTTTGAGTGTGACTGTGGCTCATTTTTTCGTTTAATGACTGTTAATATGTAACTATCGATGTGTCTAATTGGTTGATTCCAATTATACAAGTGTACTGGTTTGTGTTTATATTGCTTCTTTATTCTTCTTTTTCCTCTTTTTGATGAATTTGAAGTTGTTTCTGAATCGAAAAAATATAATTGATCGTGAATGGGACAATTTTTATCAATTGATTCTTTTAATTTACAAAGTTCGTCTAAATTGCTGGCTTCTGATTCTGAAAATGCGTTTCTATTTTTGGAAAATCTTTTTCGTGTGATTTGTCTTTGTTTGTTTATTATTTTTCTTTTTATTGTTTGTCGTTTTGTTCTAATATATCCAACTGTTTGTGTATGAGGTGTGATTACAAGATCATATTTTTTGTTATCTATTTCACAGTTGTGTAAAACGATTGTTTGTTTATTTCCTAGATTTTTGAATGACATAAGGTTTAGAATGAGAGATGCAAAAGGTTGTTAGATGATTTCTACTTTCTTAAACTGTTAGTCCTTACGATTTTTTTGGTTAGCTTAACCTGGGTCTATTTGTTCAGGGTTGGAGAGAAAAGTATATCAATTCCGAAGAATGATTTTTTACTTTCTCGTGGCTAGTATAAGCTAAGGTGTTAACTTACCTAATCTTACTTAGGGGTAGTGATTGTGTTCAAGGGTTGGAGAATAGTAAATCGATCCACAAGGTTCAGGTAAAATTAGAACGCGAGTAGTTCGTTAGATACTATTTTAAACTTACTAAGTCTAAGATTTATCCTGGGTCTGGTAAGAGGGGGGTTCAAGTGAAGGATGAATAACCGAAGTTCTTAACTGTTTATCCTAATTTGAATGGTTAGTTTTGTTCAAAAATTTCTATTAGTCTTGGGTTTTTTGGAAGGGTTGGATAGTGAATCGATGTTTGAGGTCGTTAGACAATTGCTAAGTGGGTGGGGGAGAATAAAATTGTTCTTTTTGATCCAAGGATAGGCCTTGATGATCAAGTTTTAAATTTAGTGAAATAGAAAATTAATTAATTAAGATCCAAGGATAAGCCTTGATGATCTGATTTTAAAATTAAGTGAAGTTAAGTTTAAATTGGTTTAAATTTATTTAAGAAAAAGATTTAGTTTTTTAATGATATTAGTGAGCTTATGATTGTTGTTATGTTTAGGTGATGAAGCTGGGACAACAGATGATTTTATGATTACTAACAATTTTTTGTCATGCTACTAATTTGTATTTTTATTTTCAATAAATATTTTTCAAACATGTTTTATATAAGACTGCAGAAATTAGGAAAACGATATGAGATCTTTTTATCAATCGTTATTGTATATTAATAATTTTGTTTAGCGCCTGAACTGATCATGAAGATTGACTTCAAAATTTTATGTTTGCAAATGAAAATCTAAATTCATTGCTAATAAGATTCTAAATATATAAGTTTGTGTTGGCTTTTGCCGTACAATCATAAAACTATTTGGTAAGTTTCTACTTTGTCGTATGTCGTCTCTTGTTCGAGGTCTTCTTCCAATTCCGGGTAGTTCTATTATCGTTCGGAATATCGGCTCTGATCTATTGAGTCGTAGAGACATTTCGATAAAATTATTGTCGTATAACATTTTGAAAATGTTTTGTCTAATTTCTGATCTATTTTTGGTTAATTCTAAGCTATTAGGGTCTTATTCGAGCCTTATGGTCGCACCAGATGAGTTAGAACCGATGTGGTTAACTCATAGAGTAATTTCGGATAGGGTACACCGTCTGCTCGTCACGCTATCTTATTTTCGGCCGGATAGATTCGTGCAACTTCTTAGTCTAATACCGATCCCAATCTTACTCTTATACTATCTAGTCTCAGGTTGTTTAACTAGTCTCTGCTAGGCTCAATAGATCTAGGGTATACTGGTTTATTGCGGCTGCTGAAGTTCTCTTGGAGAGGCAACTAATTTCTAAGTTAAATTCAAATCTCTCTGGTGCTGAAATTACAAGTAATTTCAGCACTTACAAATAAGTGGGTTGTTAGTTAGATGGATCATGATTGGTTAATATTAAATACTTTACAGTGGTAAAATATCTAATTTATCCAATCATAAAATATAGTTTAGATCAGGTTCCATAACTTCTAAATTTATAAGGCCAAAACACACAACATTGGAAATATATCGAGATATCAAAACTTTATCCTGTAGCTGAAGGCGTCTTTTACACAAATGCGTCTCTCAGTTTTTTTATTTCATGAAAAATGCGTTTCTGAAACAAGGTCTTCTCGTAATCGGGGTCGACTCTCGTTTGAGAAAGCAAAGCATTAAACAGGAAAATGGCCAAAAAAATTAAAATATCGTACTCTGCTCGTCTGTGACGACGTATACTGCGCGTATGATGATGGCGGGTACATCTCGCGCCCCGTCTATGTCTCCGAAGGCCGAGGGGTCCAAGTGAGAGAAGTGGAACTTCTCATGGGACACTAGGATGTCAAACTCCTTTCTGCCTGCAAACGAAATAACTATCTTATAACTCGATAAAAAGTATTTAACAAATCTTTCTAACTTCAATCTACAGTCACGCTTATTTGACTGCAATGCAATATATACTTAATGTTGTTTAACAATCACCTCCCCCCATTGGAAAAGGAGGGGAGTTTCGTTGCAAGGTACAAAATTATCATATGCTTAACCGTTCAATTGGTTCTGTATAGGGGTAGCAATTCTTTACTACGCACTACGGGGGGTAATTGATAAGATCCTATTTCGTTGTAAAGGGCAAAGTTATGGTCCCTATTCCTAATCGTGCTTGTCTATCATAACGATGTACCATATGAAGACCATGCCTCATGAAATATAATCCCAATACGTGTTCTTTTTGGTAATTGTTGCGACCACTGAAAGTAGGGAGAAAACTTGTCCTCGGGTTTTTTTTTTCGTTTTTTTTTGCCCGCATTGACAAACTTGAGATTGAAGTTCATTTAAACTGTCTTTTATACAGAAAACATAATGTATAAAAAATCAATTTACGGTAGACCATTTAGATACGTAAATTATTTTAGGATGGATTTAAACCGACTTTAACGGTAGGAAACCAATCGAAATCTTTGCCTGAAAAATTGATTTCAAGGGATTTTTGCAAAGTAAAGGAATTCATCAAAATTTGAACAATACTGATTTCTTTTTACTAGTGTTTTCGTTTCGAAACTTGGGCTACATTTTTTAACAATGGAAGACCTCAATCAGAGCTACACGCATATTTTTTTCCTTTTTTTTCTGAAGTTTGAAACTTGGGCTACTTTTTTTCTGAAGTTTGAGGAGAGCCAAAAATTTTCGAGTCAATTTTCATCAACTTGATTATAAAGTCAATCCAGTTCTTGACAAGGGTTTCTCTCAAAACAAAAACAAATTTTAGCCGAAATTTCTCCTCTGCTAAAAAATCAAAGTATAATTCATTGTTTTGCGCGGTAGTATTGGTTTTTAGCTGAGTAGTGTTGACATCTGTAGTCTTTGAACCTTTTCAAAAATTTTGCGAAGCAAATAGTCATTAGCAATAATAGATACTTTGTTTTTTGATGAACGCTTAAACTACTAATTTGATGGTGAAAATCTTTTCCTCACCTTCGCTCAGATGAGACAGTTGTGAAAGACCTCATTTCAAAAATATCTACTTATATTATTATTTTATTTTATCAGTTATTTCAAGAAACGGGTCTTTTAATGTTCTGAGTTTCATTGTTCTGTTGTTTTTTCACTCCAATTTTGACATTACGATCAGCCAGTTTAAAACGGAGACTTTTGTACGGTCTGAGAGTTATTGGCGTTTTGAGCAAAAAATAAATAAATAAAACACGCTTTCCTCTTGATATTTTTTATTTCGACTTTTGAAAATTGTAAGGAAGGTATATGAACAAGGTGTTTTTTTATTCAGACCAATTCTCAAAAAAATTGCTCCCGGGTGATCGATCCATGGAGATTCGTGTTCTCAGAAAGGGAGCACTCACCGCTACACTATACTGATGTAAAGAGTGCAGCGAAACGCTCCTTAATGAACTAACGCGACTATAAGAGCGCTGTGATACTTTGATGGCGAAAATTTAACGCGCACTATTTACGCGTGACGAATTATGCCACACTGAAACATCGTTTCAAATTCAATTGAGGCAGTCTAATTCGTCTTATTAATTCCACACACGACTCCTAATTTTAAAAAAATATTATGGAAAATAGAAACTAGACCAAATAAAATGATTAAAATTTGAACTATATCTAATAGTTTTAATTTATTTTAAATATAGTGGATTCAATTTTCATAGGCTAAAAATGATTCAAACCTATTGAAACATTTTTTAGTATTGCTTTCATGATTTTTGCCGCTTCAACATGTAGACTCATTTTAATACAGTTTAACATCGTTTCCTCTTTTCTGTTGGTTGTATTTCTGAATTTGAGTTTTTGTTTTAAAAACATTTCGATTTGAGTTTTTATTGTTCCAACTTTCGATACGAAAGTAACGGAATATTTGTGCTCGGGGTGGGTTTTTTTTTTTTCAGACAAGTTTCGACTTTTTAACTAGACATTTTCGACGGAATTTTTTATATCATTCAAAAGGTTTTGTTGTCCTCAGCTTAAATTTGAAAAGATATTTCACCTGCGATGATTTTTCGTAAAGTTATGAGGGTTTAAACATTGCCATTTTGACCAATTTGGGACAATTAACGCGCGATATAATTCGCGCTATTAACGCGTAAGCGGAGATTTAATCCGTCATATAAATCGTTCCAAATTGGCTGAACGAAGCTTATTTGCCATAATTGATTTGTTACAAGGAACAAAATCTATCTTTTTATACTTTATATGGCGTGTGGGGGGATGATTTTCATAGAAAATTTCAAATTTTAAAAAAAAAATTTCATTTTATTTTTTTTAATGTTATTGCTGCTGCTCAATAAACCTGAAAAGGCAGTCGGAACATTCAGGGCTTCGCCCTGATACGAGTAGTGTTGTTTAAATTTGAGAATGTTGGAAATTTTTTTTTTCGGTTTGATAGTAGACACGCGACTACTTTCAGGGACAAATGGATTGCAGTCAATTTTATACAGATAAATTAACGATCTCTTTTAAAAATTGATTTAAATCGGTTTAAGCCAGTTGAAATTTGTACAAAAATCGAAAAAATCTATCCAAATAACCATATTTTTTATGTAGTCTAAATCAAATTGAATTAGATTTTTTACCGCTGATTGTTAAGACCAATTTTGTTTGTAAAAAAATTGAATAAAATTATTAGAAGTTGTATTCAGGCTATATGTGGAGCTAAGGCGAGCGGTGGTGAAGTAGGGGAGCGGTGGTGAAGTGGTTACGTCTCCGCCTCTCAGTCGAAAGGTCGGATGTTCGAGGCCCACCATGATCCGTGCTCGTTGCTTGAGGGTGAAGCAACATTACCCAGCCCAGAAAAATAACCAAAAAAATTGCATGTAGTTCTTAAACAGGGGCACAACAGCGGTTCGCCGTGATAAGCTATGCAGCTGTTGTGCTGGTCCTTTCCACCGTGGATAAATGGTCCTATATGCAGATCTTCTAGAGTCGTTCGACTACCAACTATTATGCACAAATTGGAAATAAAAGTTCCATGTAGGCTTTTCAGTTGATTTTTTATGTCTGTTTTTCAGTGCTGATATATCAGCCTACAAAAACCATGAGTTTAACTTATATGCGAAACTTTTGCAGCAAAAATTAACTCATACACTAAGTTTTTTAATTTCTTTATTCACTGACTTTATAAAACTGCGATAAAACTTTTGATTATAAACTTGAAATACATTTGAAGAGTTGTGCTGATTTTTACTTTTTTATTACCGCTTTGATTGCAACCCTTTGATTGCAAAAGGTTTAAGTGAAACCTTGAAACTTACGGATTGCGAAGAGGAACTATCCTCAAAGGGCTGCAGCTCACTGTAAGACTGGCACAGGTTTTTTCTTATTACAAATACTTTCGCTCAAACATTCAAACAGTAGGATAAACTAAAATAACTTATGTTTCGCTGAGAATTTGATTAGTTCTGGTGTCCTTCGAAACTCCATTTGAATCAACTTTATTTGATTTTTAGGGCATATATCAATTTTTTTACGACCATTTAAGTTTGAAATTCATCGTAAAACGAGTTACTTGATCAAATAGACTTTATGAAACCAATTTTATAGTGTTGTATAACATCTATAAATATCGAATTAATTGATCATATTTTTTTTTCGCCGGGCGTAGGACAACAGGCACTAAGACCTTCAGCCGAAAATACTTTGAGCCCATTTTGAAGGTTTGAAATTGCATGAAAATGTGACTAATTTTTAAAAAATCATTTGAGGTGATTACAAAATTAAGTTTGTAAACTAGTAGTTTAGTTTTATATCTGAGGATCGTTAAATGAGGCGGTTTTAGATATGCCTAATTATAAACTGAAAAATGCTATACACAATAATTTATGTTTGAACATTCTAAAGATTCTTTGAAAAACTTTGAAACAGATATAAAAAGCATGACATATTTAATCACTTCAAGCTTCTAATTTCTCTTTCACAATTTTTCAGAAAAAAAACTATATTTTTCAGAATGAGGAAATATAATGCCTAATTTGAAGTTATAAAATTCGACTGTGTTCGACTCCGTGTCTGTATAAAACAGTCCCATACAAAACAGTCCAATAAAAAACAGTCCGGAAAAATACAAAAAAAACACCCGAAACAGAGCAGTCCGAAAAACAGTCGCAAGTAATGATTGTTTTAACAAGCCCGGCAGGCCGAGAATTGTCCTTTGCTCATTTTGTCAAAAATTCTTATCATAGTTTCATATATGAAGTCTATGGAAAAAATGCTTCTCACAGAAAATTCATACAAAACTTAAAAAGTGTTTTAAAAGTTTTTAATGAACATTTAATTGCCTCTTTTGAAGCTTTCTGGTCATTAAAAAAATGATTGAAAATTTTTTATAAAAAATGTTCATCATACAATTTTCATGTATGAAAATTATAAATTAATCATTTTGTCACAGAAAAAATAAAATTTTCAAAAATAACCAAAAAAACGTGTCTGGGTAATTTTAAATAGATTTAAATAAACATATCTATGATAGAGAGCGTTTTGACAATCAAAAACATAATTTTAATTTCTGTCAGAAAAATGCTAATCATAAAGTTTTCATATATGAAAATTGTACGATATGCATTTTCTCATAAACAAAAAAAAAATTGAGGTAAAAAATTTTTTAATCCCTTTGGCTGCAAACTTGCTTTTGTGCTAAAATATAAATTTTACAAAAAAAAAATTACATGCAAAATTTGACATTTTTGTGTTTTTAACGTAGTCCATGATGAGCTTTTTCACCCAAAAAATTCAAAAATCACAAGAAAGTGTTTTTTTTTGTAAACACGATTATTATCTTTTGTTTCATTTGCTAAAATAAAAATAAATTTTTGAAAAAACAGGCCTTTTTTTCTCAACCATCAAAATTTTCAAACTAAAAGTTATCTAGCCATAATCAAAAAGTTACTTTTTTGGTAAATATTTCCATGTGAAAATGTTTACATTAACTATTATGGCTAAAATCAACAAATGCAGTTATTCTGCGTGATAACTGCCAGTTACACTCTGGGTTTTTTATGACAAAAAACCCTTGGTTAGTGTTTCGGTTGAAACACGAAATTTGGAACCAAAATTTTTTTTGTATTTTCATTTATGGAAAAAATGCTTGTCATACAATTTCATAAATGGAAAAAATACTTGTCATACAATTTCATATATGGAAAAAATGCTTATCATACAATTTCATAAATGGAAAAAATACTTATCATACAATTTCATATATGGAAAAAATGCTTATCATACAATTTCATATATGGAAAAAATGCTTATTGTATGAAAATTGTATGATTAGCATTTTTCCATACATTTGATATAGGCAATTGTATGATAAGCATTTTCGGTGTGGAGAAATGTAAGATTTTCGGTTTATGGAGGTCAACCCGGGGTGTTTGGACTTACTTAGACTTAGAAACTTAATAAGTCTTGATATTTTAAATTATTTAAGAATTTGACATAAATGACGTCTTTTTTTCGATAATTAAGTCTTAGTTCGTTATTTTCGAAAATAATATAAGATTTCCCAACCCTGCAAACAAAGAGTGTTGGCTGAATGGCATTATGTGGTTGAAAGTACCTTGTTTCTCATGGTTGATGGTGCCGGTGACAATTTTGTTGCTGCCTGTGAATGCGATGGATCTCACCTTGCTCCCCCCGTAGAACACAGTGGTGATGAGCTGCACATTGTGGGGCATGAAGTTGTCAATCAACTTCAACTAAACCACACAACAGCAGAGCCACGTCAATTATATCAACGAGTATTTTAGAATTATTGCAATTAAAGGGGATGTCTTTAGTTCCCCCTTCCCGCTAGTTTAAAACAATCGATCGGATCTTTAACTTTTCACCCTTTTGCGATTTTCAACCAATCAACGTCCAAAGATGACTGATCTTTCCAGTTAATTGCTTTCAGATTTTTAAACTTAAAATTGCATGACCCGGAGTGTTGGCTACGGTGACATTCGGGGTGAGGGAGCGTTGTATCAATCAGTGTTTACGACGTTAATCTGTCCCTTTCCTATTCTGCTGTTCGATTCAATTTGTACCGCGTTGATAACTCTTATCAGCGGATCAAAAGTTTATTGTAAAACAAGAGTATTACAATCAGGTACTAGACAGTTTCTAGTTGCTCGATCAGAATATAAAATATTTTTAAAGCATTTCCGAGCAAGTTTTCTTCTGCAAATTGACGTATGCATAAAAAATATTTAATAATTGTAGCTCAACTTCAACTTCAAACGGGCTTATTTTTGAAGCTTATTTAATAATAGCAGTCCAAACAAATTCCCCTCGCTTGCATTTGAAATGACTACATTATAACTAGCAATGCGTATAAATTGCTATAAATAGTATATATCCTCGCTCAGGAGTAATCGCGCATGACAGAGGACCGTTGGTCGATGGTTAAATTAGCCAAAAATAATAATAAATTCAATGCGTTAGAAGATTTTCTGTTTGTTTTAAAGCCTTTAGTGTTTATCTATTTAATTATCTCCTCCTTTTAGCAAATGAAGAGGTTGAGGTGAAACAAGCGTTAATAGTTAAATTCCTAATTCACTATTTATCGTTATTTTAACCGCTTGATAACTCTTATCTGCGGCCCAAAAGTTTATGTTTGTAAGCAAGTGTTACAATCGGAACATAGACAATGCAATAACCGGCTGTTTGATTCTTTCTCGTCAATTATAACATTCTACTCAAAATTGCAAACAACTAATCTATGCGCACAACAAAAAAAAATTAAAATTGAACAAAATTTCGAATCGTTGAAAAGCATTTGATCATGCTTCCAATAATTCTGTTAGTTCAAACTATTTCCTCTACCTTTGCATTTGAACTGACTGCATTATAAATAGCCGAGTGCTGGGAATTATACGTTGCCATGATAAATTGGTCGCATGCTTTGGTCGCTGTTCTCAGTAAGCAGACAAACTACACCGCCGATAAGATAGAAGACGTAAAAATTAAAGTGAATCAAGGCTTTGTTTGATATGGCAGAAATTACTAATCGTAAAAAAGGTTCGGATATAAAATTAGAAACAAGACTTGCTCGTATATCAGGGCAAAGTCCTGAATGTTCCGACTGCCAATTGAAAAGTTTTTTGAAAAATAATTGAAAATAAAGACGATTTTTTTTCATCAATTTATACCCCCACACGCTACGTTAAATACTAAGGGTGTGTTTAGCGTCTCGTATCGTGATAATGGGATTAAATTACTGACCTCAATTCAGTTTGGAACTCATTAACTGTTCCGACTTTCGAAGAAAACGGAATATTTATGCTGTGGTGTATTTTTTTATTCAGTCAATTTTCGCCGATCGAAATAATAGTTTTCAACAAAAATTTTGGATCTTGTTAACTATTTCCTCCCATATGGTACCTTGTAACGAATACCTTGTGCAATATATTGCACTTTAATTATCCCAAATTGGCCAAATCAGGAATTTTTAAATCCTCATATTACGAAAAATGATCAGTAGTAGAAACCAGGGGCGGATGTAGGATTTTCTCGAGGAGGGGGGGGGGGGGGGGGTTGGATTTTCAAATTTTTTTAATGTCGATCATTGTTTTTCTGAGCTCTCCTAAAGCACTTAAAAAAAGCCGTTTTGGCCAAATTTTCAGCGCCGCAGGCAATTTTTTTTTGAAAAAACAGGCCAAAAAAGCCGTTTTTGAGCACTTTTTGGAAAATTTTAACAAAAAAAATCGTGTTTTTTTGGCGCGCGCTCCCCCTGAGAGTTAGTATATTTTGGCGCCCAAGGCGCGTTTAGAAAAATTTTAGGATCGATCGGCCAAAAATGGATTTTTTAAAAAGTACCAAAGGGGGGAGGGACCCTTTGTGTCGGCAGGAGGTCGAATCCCTGAGGGGGGTGGGGGAAGGGGGCGTCCGCCTTCCGCCCCCCCCCTAAATCCGCCCCTGGTAGAAACCATAGGGGTGGCGATGGTTAAGTTGATCACCTTTTACTGACCCAAATATCAAACTTGTCTGTGTCGCAAAATATCTAATCAACGCTAACCATATGCGATTCTCTCAATGTTGTGACGTCATTTAGACTCTGTTGACCTTTGAGCTCGGCCTCCGCAATAGAGGTCATTGTCCTGCGATCCGCCTCTGAGTGTGCCGAGTTATCCGCTGCCGGATCGTCTGACTCCTCACCCGACGGAGATGCAGCCGCGGGTGATTTGCCTTCGGCTCTTGAGGCCACCCGTGCGTGTGCTTTAGCCGAAGCTCTTTTGGCCTAAAATCAATGTGCTGTTTTGCCATATTTCAGAATGTATTCTGTTTAAAATTAGGGGTCTTTTCGGTTACACCCCCTAAATTATGAAAAAATGAAATGAAAATTTGGACGTTTAGGGGGGAGGATGTTAACTTGATCCGAAAATTTTTATTATATAATTGGGACAATGTGACTAGGAAATGCACAATATTAGTATGGCACTGGTAAAAACGAACCATTTTCACTTAATTTAGTCTCAAACTGACTTGTTTCTCCAATTTTCGCCAATTTTCTGAGCATAAATTTCATTAAAAGGATGCTTAATAATGCATTTTAAATTGTCGTTAAGTTCGCATTATTTGACTATTTCTATCTTGATTTAACGCTCGGGATATCAGCCCTGTTATTTCAAAGAAAATCAGACAAACTTTGTAGGAAAAACTTTAACTTTTATTTTTTATCATTTAGGGGGTATAAGCGAAAAGACCCAAATTAGGGCTCTTTTCCACTTTCCCTCCACCTTTGAATTTCAATTTTGGAAGACTACTTTAAAGTTGTCGTAAATGCAATGAAACTTGGCATGGCGAACAAACCAACAATTGTGAACAGATTAGATTCTTCATAGCTCACGTCGTAACTTAACGTGTTTGGCCATAATTACACATAAAACAACAAAAAAAAACAGAAAATTAGAGTGGAAAAGAGCCAAATTTAGAAACACTCATTTGTATGAAGGCACGTTACAAGTGGGATAGAGGGGTCCAGGTAAAAACCAAAAAAAAACATTTTCTCAAAAGTAACTAATCTGCCTCATATGCGCTATCCATTGAATATACTTTAAGTGACATCACCGAAGTAATAAATTGATCAAGTTTGAGGCACTCTATATACATTAGATACCCGTTTGTTTCTTGGAACCCTTTATCAGACTTGTACCAAAGGCTCGATTTGAAAAGAACTTCTTTGAAACGCTCTATTCTCAGAGCGAAAAGCAATCAGAGGGTAGAAGTTCAGACAGCGTGTTCAAACATAGTTTGGCGGGATAATTGGTGTTTTCTGGGATCTACTTAACAATTCCCCCCCCCCCCCCCCCTTTGGTATCTACTTAAGAATTGTCACCCCCATTAATAAAAGCAGTAAATTAGCACTGAGCTTTCTATTGAGAATTAGAATTTTGCTGCATTCTGATTGGTCGAAAATGCGTTATTTTAATCTACTTAACAATTGCCCCCCCCCCCCCTTTCTTAAAGGGGGAGGTGGGGGGAATTGTTAAGTAGATCCGTTTTCTGTTATACGGTTATTTAAACATAAAAGAACAAAGATAACGGATCTACCTAAAAATCTCCTCTTTTCAAGAAAGGGGGGACAATTGTTAAGTAGATTAAGTTGGTAGAATTTTTGATCAATCAGAAAGCAGCAAAATTCGAATTTTCAGTAAAAAGTTATAGTGCTAATTTACTGTATTTATTAATATAGGGATGGAGATTCTTTACTAGATACCATAAGGTTTTTACCATAGGGGGGAGTTCGCTAAGTTGATCCAAGATAACATTAAACACCGCCCCCAGACCCCCAACTTTCACCCCCCTCTCTGCTGACCTCTTCATTGAGGAGCTGTTCGTATGTCTTGGCAATCTTCCGCAGACTCAGATACACTTTGTATCTCCTCATCGCAAATGGACTGATCTCGTAGGGCTGCACCAGGGGCTCCTAGAGATCAAAAACACACATGCTTCAAGGAAGATCACCTATAGTACTTTTCGAACGCTTGCCCGTTGCCCGGGTTGAGGTGTTTGAATTAAGTTTTGACTGACTCGATCTAAAAGAGCTGTTTCAAAAAAAAGAGCTATAGCAAATGTCTCCCATAATACCGATTTTGGGTATAATTCCGAAATAAAGTGAAGATTTTTTGCCTGAAGCTTTAAGCTTGTATTGGATAAAGTTTAGCTCCTCTGCTATAAAAGCCCCGAAATTTGTTAACCTTGTTGATTTATTGTAATGAAAATTCGCGATTTCCTTTATTTTCCCGTTTTAAGATCAAATTTTCCCAAAAAAACTAGCTTTGAGGCTTTTATTGGATTAAATATTACTCCTATTTGCCCTTTTTATAAAAGCGTACTCGACAACCCCCCCCCCCCCACCCTCCGTTTACCTTGCGATGTGGCGGCATGCCTGCGTTCACAGTTGGTCTGAACAGACCTCCGTCGTCCTCAGGGGGGACTTCTTCTTCCTAAACGATACAATGGACAATTACAAAACAAATTTTCAAATTTAGAGCGAAAAAGTTGAGAATATTCAGAATATTCAGAACGGTGACGGTTTCACATTATGTATAATTCTCAGTTCTCATAATGCATAAATTTTGAAGTCTTTGTTGTTTTGGGCGGTTATCAGTTAAGTTCGGTTAAAGCCATTACTAGTCGGAGATGTGTCTGAGGGTCTTTTCAGATGCCCCCTAAATTATGATAAATGAAAGAATAACGAAAAAATTTATTATGTAATTGGATTCATGTAACAGAGAGGGTCGGAATTTGAGAATGGGAGAATCAACCGTACAAATATCCCCCGTACAAATTGATTATGGGTATGGAATTTTTTAACGATTTTTTTTTCCTTTTTCTAGACATTTTTCAATTGTTTTCGATTTTACATTACTATGGTTGTCGAATATGCCTAGGTTTTGTTTGTTCGTTCAGATCTTTTTATCACACCATGCAGAAACATGAAAAAAAATCTTTGTATTTTTTAAGAGAATGGTCGGAACATTCTGTGCTGCTTGCACATAACCGGCTATCCTTGTTGTAATTACTATTTGCAGAAATCTTCCAAAATTTGTCGATTGAAGCTCCTACAAATGTTCGTCGTAATTAGAGGGGATAAAACTTTGCCCGAAGGAAGTCTAGATAAAAAGTCTGCTTAACCTATGTTTGTCTCAGATAACTGGGAAATTATAAAGCTAAATGGTGAAAATTGATTCTTGGTTTTTGGTTTGTTTTCGAGTGAATAAAATAAGCGAGCAAGTGTATTTTGATTTGCAACCAAAGTATTTACGACAAATAATCATCCGAATGAGTCGAGTGATGTTAAAACTTTAAATGAGGAGGTTTCAGTCGAGATTTGAACGATATTAGAAAAATTTCAAGAATCACTACCAGTGTTGAGAAAAACTGGTTTAAAAATTTTGAGTTTCAGTCTAATCCCGAGCAAGTAAAGCCAGTGACCAGGCTTATTGTAGAAGCATGAGCTATCAAAGTTTAGTTTTACTCCAGTACAGTTTTTGTTTGACATTTTTCAAGCGCCACATTTTGAAAGAAAAAAATAAAAATTCAAAACAATTTCTGACAAATTTTTTTTTTCAAAAATGTAATTTTTTTAAAAGTTTTTTTTTCATGTCATTTCTTGACAAAACCTTTGTCGGCTTCTAAGCCATTAAAATAAGCTATTGTAAGCCTGCTCGCAAGCTTTATTTACTCGAATTAAAACAAAAAACCAAAATTTTCAACCAATTTTTCCCGACACTAGAAAATATATTTTTTTGAATTTTCTTAACGTCGTTCGAATTACAGTTGTATGGGCTTTAGCTTTTCAAATGGTCGGAACAAAAAAACATGAAAATTGTTTAATGTATTTTTATAAGACGGAATATGGTCGGAACATTCTGTGATACTCGCACATCAATCGGCTGTCCTTGTTTTATCTTTTTTTTTAGCTAGCAATGAGAATTTAACTTTCTAAAAACCTTTTCTTAGCCTAATCAAGAAATCAATTTAAAACAAACTTTTTTTTCATATATCCAAAAATTTTAGCAGGTTATCTGAATAATTGAAAACAGTTTTCATTCCTTATAAATGTCCCCTTGCTTACACTTTGTTTGAATTTCATCGTCAGAAGGACTGACCTTGTAGTTGAAGTGTGGCGTGGCCCCCCTCTCGTCCAACTCATCTGGGTTGGGCAGGGCAACATGCAGCACTTGCTTGCTTTCGAGGGGGTCTGATATGCTTGAGAGTCAGCTC